AAGAACCATCATTTATTGTAAAGCTATTTTCCTGGGGCTTCATGTGGCTTCATGTGTCATTTAGGTCTTCAGGACTCTGTAGGCTGGGTGCTACAGATTTCTGTTTCTCAGGTGAAGACATCAGTGGCTCAGAGAGATGATGAGAAATGCCCAAGATAAAATAGCTTGTAAGTGGGAGAGCCAGATGTAATTGTAACCCAGATCTCAGGACTCTGCAGCCATGTGCTTCTTTTCGTGCCTACTGTCTACATGTACAGATGGAGACACACCAGAGTGGTAGAGATGATCAGAGCTTGGGGAATGTTAGGGGTGGCAGTGGTGGCTCCCAACCGAATGTTAAGAAAAAGCTCCTCGGAGAAAATGCTCTTAGAGTGGGGTTAAGCTGTGGGGTAGGTGGGCAGTGCTGTGCATTGCATACAAGCTGAGAAGTGGAATGCATGCTTTGCTGGACTGGTGGGGTGCAGTTGGTGTGCCAGGGACATGGTGTGTGCTCTGAGAGGAGGAAGCTTGTTAAAGCTGCATTGGGAAGGGTTCTGAATACCCTGCTTTAGGAATGGCAAGTGGAGGCAGCAGCCATGGAGTAGGTCAGAGCTGGGTAAAGTCATGACCACATTTGCCTCCTAGGAAGATGCCTGGTATCAGTGTTGAGAGACGAACTGGAAAGGAAGGGCAGACCCTGGTCTTGGGGAGGAGGTCACTGTGCTTGTGCCTGCCATAAACCAGGGTTTGGGGAGGGACGGGGACTGGGAGACGGATATCAAGAAGAATGAACAAGAGGAGGAGTAAGAAGTCACAAGAGGAGAGGGAAGGACACAGGCAGTACTGGCATCCGCAAGGGGCCTTGGTGGATGAGATGAGTGCCATCCATTTGGCTTGTGAAGGCAGGAGTCTCGGCTTTGTTCCCTGTGCCTGCGCTCAGTAAGCATGGGGAGGTGGGGAGGGAATTTGTGGACATTCGTAGGAGTCCAAGCATGTTTGCCCCTTTGGTGGGGCTGAAGTCCATTAGAGTTCTAAGCTGGGGGTGGGGGCGTGGCATACTCATGTATTCCCAGCACTTGGGGGGATGTCAAAGCCAGCTATGTGCTGAGACCCTGTCTCAATAAACAAAACAAACAAAAAGTTAAAACAAAAACAAACAAAAAAAAGGAGCCCGTGTCCTCTAACCTCGCTGACCCAAACATGGCATATGTAGGAGAACAATGTTTACTTCTTCATCATCACAAGAAAGACTCTAGACTTTTCTTTGCCTTCATAGGATTAAAATGTGTAAGAAAGAGTAAGGAGCTGGGCGTCGGTGGCGCATGCCTTTAATCCCAGTACTCAGGAGGTAGAGGCAGGTGGATCTCTGTGAGTTCGAAGGGTGAGATCCAGGACAGGCACCAAAACTACATGGAGAAACCCTGTCTCAAAAAAAAAAAAAGGGGAAGAGTAAGGAAGCCTTACTGCTTTCATCAATGAGCAACATTCACCTTGTCACTAAGATGTGCCAACAAGCATTTGTCTCAGAGAACT